TACATATATATCCGAATTCTTTAGTGTTTCTCTAGAACCAGCTTTAATCTGAACATAATTTGCTGATACCAGCTTCCTACTTAGCACTTCACACACTTCCAAATAGTTTAGGGCTGTAAGACTCGATGTTTGTACCTTGAACTTGGTTGTTAACAGTTTAATTAGAGGTCCCCTTTCTGGGATTGTTCCCAATACTTTCTTTAGAATAACTCCACATGATGTCTTGTTGTATAAAATATTTGGTGGTGCTGGTAAGTGTTTCTGACTTGATGGGGCCAAAAGCACTTCACTCTGTTCTTCTTCATCATCTGATGAAGGGTAAAGTGGTACAGTTTCGCAATCCATTGTGGCATCACTATCATCAAGGTTTTGTGAATCCTGTTAAATAAATTATCATAAAATTACTAATTCTTGAAATGTCCAGTATTTTTAGAGCCATGCACATTATTTGACACCATTTTTTTGAAATTTTAGACAGAATTTCATTGTAAATTCAGTCCAACCTCTCTCTTCATGGCACAAACCACTATAGAATATATAGTAAGATAGAAAAATTACATTTCTTTTGTTATAACAAAGAAATAGAGAAAATCAGACAAGAAAAGAGAAACAAATTCAGATCTTCAAATTTAGGAGCYCCAAGACAAATTCCAGGCCTTTCAAGAAAAAATAAAAATATAAGAATTGAAAGAGTGTCCAAGGACTACTGCTCCCAGGTGGTAGGAATATTGCTAAGGCATAGGATATATCAACCCTTGCATGAAAACAGAACCATTAGAACTCAAYCTCTTACCTCGTGAYTAACCAAAGAATGATCATTTCTTTTTTGGCTAGCTGGTGCAACCTTCAAAATAAGAAAGAAAAAACTGCTTAATTTCCACCATAGAATTAAACTGAGTGTTTTACTCTCACACATGCAGCATTCCTTTTCAGTATATCACTGTATATGTGATTCAATGTAAAGAATGAATAGACATGGCACAGCAACACATACCATGGCCATTCTTGGCTCTGGAGGGGTGTCCCCATTGGCTGATGATGAATCACTTGATTCTTCAGATGATCTTCTGAACTGAAATATATACAGTACACAATGGAAAAAATGCTGGATATATTTAAACATGCTCTGGTTGGTTTTATAATATAGTAGTAGTAATAATAATGGAAATTTAAGCACAGTGATATAGCTTACAGAAAAAAAAAACAGTGAAAAACCATACTAAGGGAGATGAAAAATGTAATATGAAATTATTTACACAAAACTATCTTTTGATTTCATTCAAAATATTGTTGAAGTCAAATTTTATATTTGTAGTTACCTTACTGTATCTTCTTTGCTCACTAAAGTATGATCTTATGTGATCACATATTCCATCAATACCAAAACCTATGCCAGGTATGGCACAATCCTGTTCAATGGATTYTGCAAACTCGAGCAGTTCCGCCTTGCTTTCTGGTGTGTGAAACTTGGGGAAATCATTTTTCCAGTGCGTCTTTGCTAAAGTGCCAACTCTTTTACGTCTTCAATTGAAAATGAGATGTGGTAAATTTTAATCAAATGATTTAGCATTTTTAATTAAATTTGAAAACAGTCTAACTGTACAGCAATACTTGCATTACTAAATGATCATCTATCATTATTACTATTTTGTACCATAAAATCTTAGGGTGCATTCATTTTTAGGTGGTTGGTGGACCAGAGAAATGTTTGCTCCAAAAAATGAAAACCCACCAAATAATAGGCCTGGAATATTGTCATGGTCAACCCACCCTACCTCATCACTCAAATAACATTTCAACAAAATTACCCCCCAACTTTAATTTCCCAGCACCACTCCTTAAATGCTTGATTCATGGCAGCCATGTCAATTGGATAGGTGGTTTACTTAGCATATACAAAAGTCAGCAAATCAAAGCAAAAATGTTCACACTTTTCTTAGAAAAAAAACTTACATAACGAAAAGATATACTTTAATGTGAATTTAATGTAGGATGGCTTCGGATGGCTAAAGATTTTTGAGATGGAACTTCGTTGGTATCAACA